GGGGGGCCGAGACTAACGTCGTGGTCTCGCGCGGGGGGGGCGGGCGGGGCTGCGGGGGGCGCGAGCGAGGGCACGGCGGAAAACGTTTCTCCCGAGGCGCGCGCGCAAGCGGCAAGGCGGAAAGGTTTCTCGGGAGGCGCGCGCGCAAGGGGCAAGGCGGAAAGTTTTTCGGGAGGCGCGCGCAGAGTGCAAAGCGGAAGGCGCACGCAGAGAGTGGGGTGGGGACAAACTTTCGAAAGGTGCGCGCGGGCAGACAGAGCAGAGGCAGAAATGTTGTTTGGCTACAATACACTCTGCTTACAGTACAGTATTTCTAGATGGCGGGGCGCGTTCAGCACCGTCGCCGCCGCCGTTGGCATTGGATCTCTAATTAATTCGGATCTATTTTTTGAACTTGTTTTTAAATTCGATTTAAAAATAAGAAATCAAATTTTAGGATCGCACTGAGCGTGTCGTCGAGCACTCGTGTCGTCGGGCACTCGTGTCGTCGAGCACCACCACCACGTTCGTCGAGCACCCATTAGCAGAGACGAAGGTGGAGGACGATAGTGCGGGCAGAATAGGAAAGACAAGTAAACCAGCGACGTAGTTGCCCTCCCGCCCGCTAAGGGTCTCTGCCTAGCCCTCCCTTCCATTCCGTTCTCGCTACTCCTTCCCCTTTTTTAACACGCTCCCTATCCTACTCGCGCACTTCTCTACAACGCAAGCTTCGCCCCACGCCAAAAATTTTGTGCTGGTGCTTAGTTTGCGTCAGTCTGCAAACCTGCGTTCAACGACAAGAGGCGATGCGGGTGAGCCCGGCAATTGAATTCAATTGCGGGCGTGTTCATCTCCCGGCGACAGTGCGGAGAGGAGCAGACACTGGAATTGGAATTGCAACTGCCACTGTCGTAATAATTACAATGCTATAATAATAATTAAATAATTACAAACAGCACCTGTAACGTACACGTGTACTGAAGGGGCGCTCCGTGGACACGTGTGTATTCGGACACGTGTGTAACTAGATCAGCAGCCCGCGTCTGACGAATCGCCCTGAAAGTTTGATAAATAAACCCACGATCGCATCTGACGAATCGCCTTGAAAGTTTGATAAATAAACCCACGATCGCATCGCACGTCACCCGCGCCGTGCCCGCGCCGTGCCCGCGCCGTCGCAAAGTTTCCGCAATTTTCTCGTTCCAACCTTTTCGTACTCGCCACTATTCCACCTGCACCGCGTCTGTGGCACAGACTCTGTGCACGGACACAACACTCCCTCCGCCCAACCTTCTTCCGCACACCCTCCCTCCGCATACCCTCCCTCCGCACACCCCTCCCTCTGCACAACACTCCCTCTGCACAACACTCCCTCTGCACAACACTCCCTCCGCACACCCTCCCTCCGCACACCCTCCCTCCTCTCTCCCTCCCCGTTCCCCCTCCCCCAACCATCCCTCCTCTCTCCCTCCCTGCGCCCTCCACCCCGTCGACCTTGCTTTACCCAGTCCCGCCTCGCCATCACGCCGTACCGCCTCGTCCCGCTCGCCTTCGTCGCCATCCTGCTCCTGTTTTATGACCTCGTCCTCGTTAACTTCCTCTTCCAGCTGCACACATCACCCATCGAAGAAGACCCTTCGCCGCCCCCTTCCGCCGACCACCTCTGCGAGTTTTCCGTCCTGAACAACCCCGCAGCCCTGCACTGCGTCTGCGCCGCCACCCGGTACCTTTTTTTCTTCTCTTCCTTCCTTGCTCCATCCCTCACCTTGTCAATAACCCCGCACGTGCACTGCGGGGTACGCCGACCTCCGCGACGTCCCGCAGCAGCAGCGCCCCACCGCCACGCGCTCGCGTCGCGGCACCCGCCCGCCGACGGCGCCAAGCAACGGAACGACACTCCCCCTCTATCCTTCCACGTTCCATCGCGTGGAAAACGCTCTCGATCTTCGCACACCAACGACGCGGTGCACCAACCCATCGCCCGGCCGGCTGTACCACGGCCGCTGTCGTGCCCGACGCCCCGCGCAATCCCCGTCCGCCGCGAGCTCGTGCCCCATGCGCGCCCGCGCCGACACCCCCGCGCTCATCGACGACGAGGTCGCCGCGGACGCGCGCGCGGACACGGCCAGCCGGGACGCCCCCGCTCGCCGACGAGGTGGTCGCCGCGGACGCGTGCGCAGGCGCGGCAAAGCCCGATGTCGCGCCCACGCTCACCCTCGGGCCGTGCCCTCGTCTTCGTCACGCAGCCACAGCGCCATGCCCATCCTGGCCCTGCTGTGCTGGGAGACCCCCTGCCGCAGGAAGAGGCCTAACACCATGCCGTGCTCGACCGCGGCGCCGGCGGGGAGAGAGGGGGAGGAGGAGTTTTGATGCGTGCTGATGGGACGCGATCGGCTTTTTACACTGCCATTGAGTGATAACTCGTACATACGTGAGAGGCCTTTGAGCTCAAACGTTAAGCATGTTTGTCATCGTTTCACGCCGAGGCGCGCTGCCAAACCTTCTGTGGTTGCCACGCTTGAACGGTGTTTCAAGCCGGGGCGCCTTCTGGTCGGTAGCAGTTGCCACACGCTTGAACGGCGGGACGTTGCCCGTGTTTAAAACTCCGCCCCACCTCACAAACGCACCGAACGTTGAAAACGGACCCAAATGCAACTCTCCGCAAATTCGCCCGCATTTCGGAAAATATTTATTTCTCCCCGCTCCCGCCCCCCCCCCCGCCATCTTCTTACACCATTCTTCTCCACCCTCCTTCCTCGCTTTTTGCCCCGCGAAATCGTGCGTCAGGTCATGCACCCGCAACCTACCACAACCCTTCACATACTGCAGATCTACTAATCCAACACTTTCCATCTGCTTTGAACACCTTGCCGTCCACTCGTTGTCCATCTCCCACAAATTTCCAACCAAACTGAAAGGCATCCGATCTTGCTTCTTAACAACACACAGACTCCGATGTATTCTTCGAAACGAAAAATCACCAACCGTCCCCCCACTGCTTCCCACATCGAACCTCCAGGATATCTAGTGATGTATGCAATGTCCTATGCAACGACAAAAATAA